GGAGAACAATGGTGTGTTTTGAGTCTTGTTAACTCCGAAAAGGGGTCTTGTTAACTCCAAAAAGTAATCACTTGGGTTAAGTCTTTGATTTTGAGTCCTTTAAATCCACCATGCTGATAGAGTATTGGTGGCCCACCAAGTGATCACTTTTGTTAAATCTATTTTGAGTCCTTTAAGTCCAGAAGTGTTCCGTTTAGTCATTTGTTTAGTGCTGGGTAGACAGGTGGAAATGACTAAAGAACTGACTAAATTGTTCAGTCCGAGATTTAGTCATCTGCTGGTAGACACCACCATTACTAAAGGATAATGACTAAATCTTGAACTAAACAACCAACTAATGGATTCCTTTAGTCGGTCCGTTAGTCGGTTGGGTAAAGAGCGGCCTTTTAGTGCTGGAAAGGTTTTAGCTTTAACTCTGAAACATGCATTTAGATCCACAGTCAAAACGTTCGGGACAAATGACTGCATTCTATGTAATCAAGAACGGCTTCACATCTTCAAACGTATGAGAAACAAACCTTCTACACTTCTCAACAGATGTGAAGAACTATTTAATACATGCCGTCACAAACCACGGTTCCACCGGTTCACCCATGCAACCCCAGTGAGCAGTACTGATGAGCCCTCAATGGGCGAAAAAGTGCCAACAACCATTGATGTTTAACACCAATGGTGTGTGTGAATGCAATCGATATAATCCATAGAAATAGTACCACAGAGTCAACCCATCAAGCCACAGTTCTGTTGCCTCGTGCCACTCGGCACCAGAACTCCAGCCTGAAGGCTTGTCTCTGTCAATCCCAGTAAATTATATTTAGAATGGTACTCACTTTTTGCTGCAATTGATAAATCCTACGTCATTCGAAATCTCACGGGAAAACTGACTCACACCGCTCTACTTTCGATTGCTATTTCAAGACGAGATGCACAACACGTTGTCATTCCTTCGATGATTGAACGCTGACACCCATCAACCTGCGTAATTGATGAGCAGACACAGTGCCTCTGAACACAATTCTTTTTCGACAACGAGTCAACAATTCTATCCCACCAGTATCATCGTCATGGCTAAGCTTACCTTGACCTCCATCGTCATTGCTGTTCTGGCTCTGGCATCCAGTTCTCAGGCATTCGTGGTCGCCCCAGCTAGTGCCACCAACTCTGCCTCCACCACCAGTTTGAATCTCTTTGGTGGCCTCAAGGATGCCTTTGCCAACGACGAGCGCCTTGACAAACCCAAGAATGCCGGTCTGAGCGGCGGCCCCAACTACAATGAACAGGTGACAGTCAATGGTAAACCTGTTCCAGGCGCTGTGGTGGGACAGAAATTGACCGTTGTGGCTGGAAGGGTCAGGGTCAAGATCCCTGTCAATTGCCAACAAGGAGACTGCGGGACATGCATGGTGAATTTCAATGGACGAAAAGTCAAGGCTTGCCAGGCAACTTTGCCAGCTGGAAAGGCAGTCATCAAGACACTCTAGGCACATTCTGCTACTCGCATCTTGCTGGTAGCTTGTATGCCAAGAAATGGATGGAGGCTTGTGCTACCCTGTAATTTTAGGCTGGCAATCGAGCAGTGGTGACAAGGTGACAATAATATGCTGGGCATGCAGTTCAATCCCAAGGGCAGTAATGAGCCAATCTGCAGGAAGGAGCGTCTTGAATAAGACATCATCGGGCTACAGAAATATTTTAAAACATAAATGCAATTGAATAATGATGTCATTGATGCAAACCAACCTGCATTTTTTTGTCCTTCTCAGAAACCAATCCGTTGAAGAACAAAGGATTGTCATGTGCCCTTTCCATTATTTTGACATACATGCAGCAGATTCTCCGGCTACCGTTTCATCCTATATTATTGACCTGAACTGCGGTGCTTTCGCCAGTGAAAGAGTCGTATTGAACCGGGTTGCGGCGCACTGAGAAAAAAATCGATATCCGAGTTGTCGGAAGCTTGCAGCCAGGAGGTGGGAGGTGCCATACGTACCGGCATCGGGACGATCTCTTGGACCGCAGATGTTCTATTCTATGTTAGCCTTGTATCTTACCTACCGCAGCTTTATCAGTTTCGACGATCATGCAAGCAGTCTGTAACGTTGTTGGGGCATCTGCAGTTCTACTGAAGAGCCCAGTCACCGGTTCTCCTACCTTCCTACCGGTAAGAGACAGAAAGAATGTCTCGTTAACCTCGATCTTATGAAACCCCAATTGCATCTTCCTTGCCAATTCGAGTGCTGGGCTGTTGTGTGATGTCATGCTCTATGCCTCCATCATTGGCATGAGAGCAAGCAAGACAATTATCGCACTGCCAATCCCAAGCAGCCCACGCGGGAAGTCGAGCTCGTCAGCTTCATTCAATGTTGGTGACTCAAGATCCCTCTGCCAAATCATTGCGAAAAGGACGTATGAGAAGAAAATCCTTGGCTCGTCGAGTCCAAAGAGTCCCAGCGAACAGAGAATCAACGTCGTCAAGATCTTCACCAGATATGCACCTCGTCTTCCGAACATTGTTTGAGCCGCCCTTCCGCCATCCGTGTTGCCCAGTGGCAGTAATGCCAACGCATTCGATAGCATACCGACAAAGCCTGCAATGGCAAAAGGGTGTAGTGGTACGACAGGAGCTGCAGCAGACATAACAGCGCCTTTGCCCAGGAAGAACTCAACCAACCCACCACCGAGAGCACTAGAACGAAGCAGCTCAGCCGGGAAGGCAGGAAGCTGATTGGCAGCAGTCATCTCCATCGAGGCTGTCATATCCAGTCCAGCGACCAACAGAGTCACAGACAGGAGCAACCCTGCAAGTGGTCCCGCCATGGCAAAGTCAAACATTGACTTGTTGCTTGGCGGAGGGGACTTGAATGGTGTGATGGCACCCTGAAGTCCCAGCTGGATTGATGGCACTAGTGTTGGAAGACCAATGTCAAACTAAAACGAACGCAAACAGAATGAGAATGAATCAGCAAAAACAAAAGCTGAGACACAGAGTGACACACGGCGACTTTCTCGTGGCTCCTCCCAGTTGTGCCTACCTTGTCTCTCCATGCTATAATGCGGTGGGCCACTTCGTGAGCGGCCTGAATCGCCGCCATCGATGCCGCCACTTGCGAGGCGCTGGCAAGAATGGGACCAACGTCAATAGACAAGTCACCTGCAGCAGCAGCCTCTATTTGATCCTTCATGAAAGGCTGCATACCTGTGGTTGCAGAAGCAAACAAGATCACACTGAAAAGACCCAGCAGGGATACGGATGTCTTCAGCATGATATTCGAAGGGTCGTAAAGCTGCTCACGGTTCTTTGCAACCGCAACCAGAACAGGACGATCAATGAGTTCAAGTTCATACTCTTCATCTGTTGGTGGAGAAGGATCTTGAATGTAGAATAGATCGATCTTGTCTTTCAAAGATGACTTGTGCAGTCGCTCCTGCAAAACCGCAACCACCTTGTCCGAGTTTGTCTCCTCCGAGTCAGCCATAAGATTTCTACCAGGAATGTAGTATCCACCAAGGAATCGTTCAGGCTTGCTGGTGACCATGTATACACTCTTGTCGATCACCTCTGACATGAGTGTTTCGATATCTTCTTTTGGTGGATGAATAATTTCGAGCCTTGTCAAGGAAGGAATAAACTCTTTCACGTAACGTGATCGGTCCAAGAAGTCCAGGTCGTCATACTCAGGCAGATCCAGCTCATTGGCGGCTTCCTTGAAACTGATTTTAATTTCAGCACCCTCGCCGCCACCTGTTTTCCCCATTGCATCCTGAAAATCCTCCAAACTCATCCATTGTTCTTCTTCTTCGTCCTGGTCGACCAATGCTTCAATCATAGCGGTGACATCGGCATCTTCGTCATCGTCAATTTCCAGTTCCAGAAATTCTTTTGCAAAATGGTTTCGTACGCTCACAGGGAGCGCCAAAATGCCCATGCGGATCTCATGCCGCATGTCATCTGTAATGGACGACTTGTCCAATTCCTGTACTTGCTCCAGCAGTTGCAGTTGTGGTTCGAAGTGATCCCTTTCAATGGCCAAGCGTAGATTGCCCTCTTCTGTTTCATTGACACCACATCGCCTTTTGTACATTGCCTGGAGAATCGGGTGCAGAGCACCCACTGCTTCCAATCGCAGCTGAATCTCTTCTTCTGTTAATATTGGCAGATTCTCGTAGACGATACTGTCGCTGTAGACGAATGGACTGTCATTTTCCAGGGTCTTTTTGAGTCGATCAATTTCTCGTTTGATATTGGCCTTTTCAACTGAACTGGAGGAACTCAAATAATCGCTTTTGAGTTCTTCCAATCGTTGAACGTTTTGAATAGGTTCCATGAGCATTTTCCGAATCTTTTCTTCAAAGTGTTTTTGCAATTCTGGAGCTGCTCGAAAGGCTTCCAACTTTTCTTGAAACGTCGCGTTGGAAGGCAATCTTTCATCAATGGCAATGACGACCGGAGTGTACAACTCCAGATCCTCCTGGTCATATCCTGACAGAGGATTTTCTTCATAGTAGGCCTTTTGGGCTGCCTTATTTTGCTCTGTTGAAGCCTTGTTGGCCCTTTCGGAATTGATTGATGGTGTTTTCTCCGGTTGAGATACAGTTTTCTCCTCATTTATGGATACAGGCGCAGACGTAGGATCATCCTTGCCATTTGGAGCTGCCGCCCCATTGTCTCCATTCAGGCTAGTTGTTGTTGTTGTTGTTGGCTTTTCCACTTCTGCTTGGGATGTCCCAGGTCCCGCCAATTTATCTTGCAGGGTCTCCAATTGACGCTGCATATTTTCGACTTGATCAGGATTTCTCTCGAGCCACGCCTTGTTGTTGAGCTTCCTTTCAATGGCTTGCATTTTCTCCAACGTCAAGTTCGTATCCAGTTTCTCGGCTTCTTTTCGCATCCGCGCCGCCTGAGCTCTCCAAATGGATGCCTGATCCGACGAAGATTCAACATCATTGGTGGTGGTGGTGGCTGCTGCGCCCTCTTCTACCAGAGAAGCCACTTCGGTTTGCTGGCTCTTGTTCAACGAGAACAGACGAGACTGCACCGAGTCACGTGATCTTCTTTGGTGGCTCGGAAGAAATAGTAGCGAACTCGGCGATACCAATCGTTGAAACCCGCTGACCAAGGACGAGGTAAAAATCAACGCTATGAACAATAGCCTCAAAGACAAGGCGGACTTGCTGCTCATTGTCCCTCTTCGATGCTGTTCCACCCGCAAAGCAATCAGAGAGGATAGAAGGTGGGAAGAGGTTGGTTCTTCTTCCATTTAATATCGTATGATTTAAAAACTTTGCAGCGTTGATCGTTTGCGCTAATCTCTTCCAAGATTCATGCTCTCCTTCGATCTGCCTCTGCTTGTATCTTACGCTGTTGAGATCGAACAGATCAAACAGAACTTGAGCGAAGGTTGTTGAATAGAATATGGTCAATGGATTTGACAGCTGCTTTCTCGGTGTGAAATCGTGTCTTCCACCAATCCAATTATTTGATTGTGGGGTGGCGACGACAACCCCCATCTTCCCCTGAAAATCTCCATCACCGCTGCATGAGTGACGTCATTGCAAATCGCATCGGGTTCGCTTCTGTTCATTACGCACGATTGGGATAGGAAGAGAAGAGCTCGGGGTCGGGAACGGGACCTGAGAAGTTTATTTTTAGGTTGGAGGTTGGCAGAGAAGCAAGGTTTCGCACAGGGGTTGTGGGATTGTGGGAAGTGGGATGCTAGCAAGTAATCCTTACATGGATTGCTCGTTAATGGCTTAAGAAGATTGTAGAGCCACGGCTGGATGTTAGCAGATTAGAGTGATCTCAGCATCTCAGCCTTTCAACCAGGTAAGTTTTTTGTTCCAACTTTACACGTGGCTGAGAGCATCTGCCATTCGGGGGTTCACGAGTTAAAAGATAAAAGAATGTGATTAGTCTAGCTAGAGTCTCTAGCTAGACTAGGTATCATGCTGTTTTATGTTGCTTGGCACAGTTTTGACGTCAAGCTTTTGTACTACATGTAGTACCTTTGTACCAACTGCATCGTTCCCCCCTCGCAAAAACGCAGAGTCAAGCAATGCCGAGCGAGCGAGCAGTAGGATCTGTTGTAGTTTTGGACAGCTTTGATGTGTGTTTGGATCTATTTCCCCCGAGGGCAATCTCCAAATTTTGCTGCTCCTGTACGGTACGGTACGGTACCGTACCGTACCATACCTTCAAACCAGAGGTTGTTGGAGGGAGTGACAGGACTCTGCAGAGCTTTCGCCAGGCTGCGCGCATTGAATAAAAGCGACCTCTGGAGCTCGATCTGGAAGGTACATTGGACGTGGTAAACTGATATTGTCTTCACGAAGCAATCATTGTCTACCGTATCTATGACAATGTATTTATGTTTGTGGCTTGCTTATTGACGCCAATGACTCAAGTGGAGTCAGAAATATTCTTCGAATCGAATCTTCGAATCGAATTGAGTCGAGTCGCTCTTCAGACGTCCTTTTTGAATGTCCTTCGGACGTCTTGGTGTCTTGGTGCTCGAAAAGTGGCACAAATTCTTAAATTCTGTACGCCCAATTAAATAAAAGAATTCCATAGTGATCTTGTGCTCCTTGGTGAATGTGACCCCCTAACTGTAATCCATACAATGTCATGTCGTCATGTCCTCACGTCCTCTTTGCGGTATCATTTATTTTTTGTACCAGGATCCGTGTATTAATAGCGCTGCACGCTGCACCTTCTGACTCGGTGGCTGGGTCAATTTTCTGAACTGGCGACCATGAAGGATGAAGGGAGCTGCGTGGGGAAGATATCCAATTGAGACTTAGAGACTTAGAGACTCTTCGAGAGATCCTCCTCTGAGCATTTTGAACCATCAATGGCCAACAAGGTCTCAAGTGTTTATTTATGGGTCTCCGACATCGAATTAAGGACGGGCATATCCCGATTACCATTCAGGTCTTACTGTTTGTGAGCACAGTTGGGCTTTCGGTGCGGAAGCACCACTAAAACAACGAGCTTCCGTACGACTGTACAACGAACAGATCCAACAACATCCTCCTCTCCTTCACGGATCACTGTTGCTCGTGCTGCCAAGGTCTACGTATCTGCCTGTTGCTGCTTGTGGGTTTTATGATTGCTTGGTTCATGCTCAAAGCTGTCTCTGAATAGAGAAGAGATTCCGTTTGCTACATTCTATCTAGCTACGGTAGTACAGTAGAGAACTAGCAGGCAAGAGTTTACTGTGGTCCAACTTGGCGATACGACAGGTGTAACACAAGATCTCTTTTGTAGTAGTAGTAATTCATTGTTGACACACAACAAACAAACAAGCACTACTATGGCAGAACTGCGGAAAAAGACCCGATTGGAAGAGAATGCTCCCAAGGAGATTTTCTACTTTGGCTATGGCCCTATTGTGAACGACATGGTGCGCAAACGGCGTGGTATCGAAGTGACCGAGCTGAAACCGGCGTACGTCCCAGACTACCGGTTGACGTTTTCCTTTGGAGGAACCGCCAACATTGTCCGAAAGACGGGCTTTGAAGTCCACGGATTGCTCATGAAACTCAAGAGTCCCAAAGATTGGGACAAACTGCGAGGATTCGAGGCGGGCAATGCGCCGCGCATTCGAACGGTGGTGCCCTACGGCGGTGACAGCACGGCAGAAACGGACAGCAATTCCGAAGACTGTCATCACAATGCCGACGACGATTTCTTTGCGGCGCCCATTGCTGCTGGCGCTATGCAAGCTTATCTCATTGAAATGCCAGGTACACTCCGATCGTCTTTTTACTATGGATGGGACCTCATTTTACTTTTTTGCTCTTGTCACTCACTTCCTTTCTGTTGGACGTCCATTACTTCTATTAGGCGACGTCGAGGACACACTTTTGGATGCCCCCATTGAGCGACTACCACAAGAACGCTATCTCAAACTAGTGGCCAATGGCATGCGAAAATACGGCGTCGACGAAGACTACATTACCGATCATATTGAGGCATGTCCCTTTATCCCCAATCGAAAACGAGAAGATTACTTTACCTTTCCCGTCGCTAAAAAGGTACCCGTCATTACGCACGCCAAATACGAGGAAATTTGTGCGCGGGCGTCGGTAGAAGGAGACCTCTATTTTACACTGGGCAAGCGAGTCTTTCGAATGGGAGAACATGATCCGGCCAATCCATTAGGTACGTACATGTACTGTAGTTCAGTACAGTACAGTATATTCAACCAGACATGCAGTATATTGGATGCTCTTTTGTCTGACCGACAACTCATTCCATTTCATTCTATTTTCACAGCCAAGTGGTTTGAAACACACGGTCACGGCCAAACGGACTGTACCTACATGGTCCATTTGACGGTGGTCGATCCCAACATTCCACTCCTCGACGAACCCAAAGACGTGACACCCCTGCACGTGGAATGGGCCGAAAACCATTGCGTAGAGGTTGTAGAGCAGTATGGCATGTCTGCCACGCGAGTCTACGAAATTGGTGAACCGGGAACTCAACCACCCAAAGACGAAGAAGGAAACATCAAGGCAGAGGAATTGTCGCAAGATTTGTCCGAGGCCAGCGAAGTGCCAAGAAAATCTTGTTTGAGTTGGCTGTGTCCCATGTTGGGAAAGGATCATCACTTGGCAGAGCAATAAATAGCAAAGCTAAAGGTGGTGGAGTGGAAAGAATGATTGCTTGCGAGGTCGCACATGACAACAACAACAACCATGAACAGTACGATTGCCAAGGCCTCTAGGAATTCCAACGCCGGTCATATCAAATTGGGCCAATACTAGGACGTCGATTAAGGAAAGAAGAGGAGCAGTTGTTGGAGACAAACGCTACCAACACAAGCAGTTTGTGTGCGCACTCGGCTGGCTACCGAAAAAGAAGATTGGCCTTTACAAAGCTGGATTCAGTCATTCATTCATTCATTCATTCATTGAATAAGCCCACTCAGCCTTGAAACGGAGACCTCTCCTCGGAAACAATGAATGAATGAAGGAAACAACGTGATTGCTGCCGCAGTGGCAGGTGGAATAATCATGATGCACAGCGGGCTGGACAACCATTGCAAGCTAAAATTGTATATCGAGTTTTGACGTTTGTGGTACCGTACTCATAGTGAAATGTTGGGGATACACCTTGGTGTACGGTAGTAGTTTGAAGGGCCTGCATGCCGCAAAAGTAATTGTCCGATGCAACCTAGTACCAAGGGCCGGGCCAAGTGTTGGAGTAGGTCTCGCAATGTATGGGTGTTTGGCCAATCCATAAGTCATATTGTTGGCATTTACTAGGCTGTTACTCGAGTGGAATATGGATGTGAATGGATGCCAGAGGACGAGTGCAACGGGCAAGAAGTGTGCGAGCTGAACAACCAGGAAAGCGGACCAACCGACGGAGGAAGGGAATGAATGTGGACAGCCAGGGGAATGATCGCACAGGTCACAGACTAGTGTAGAGATCAAAAGCGCTCATTGTAGTAGTGGGAGCACAAGATCCACGGAGGCACATCGTAGCTGCCCGAGCAAGGGCAATGCTTAATCGGGTGGAAACATTGGAGCGAACCACAGAGTAATTCTTGGACCACTTCTTAGCCAAAAGCTTGGAGAGCCATTGGAGAACAACAGGAGCAAAGAGGCCGTCAGCAGAGTGGGGTGGGCGACCGAAGGTCCAGGAAATGATCATGGGGCATGTGCGATTTGCTATGCTGTCTCCGTTGGATAGCATGCTGTCACCGTCGGATAGCAAGTAGATCAAGTAGAAGGGTTTTTAAAAATGTGTGCTAAGGTAGGCCAATGATAGCTAGATTAGGAATTTGAATTTACCCCGGTGCATGCGTGTCATTGGAAAAATTTTGGAAGCATTCACACGTGCCCGACGTCATCTCCTTGCCATAGAGGAAGCTTATTGTATGCAGCTGCATCAGCCAGTTTCATCCATTTAAACCAGACCACACCGAGGATTGGAGGAGCCAGGCTGAAGATCAAAGAGACACGCTGGTCTCCCAGGGCCAGGTTGGTAACAATCCAGGACAAGCTGATCCCAATGTTCACCCCCAAGACGTAATAAAGTTTCATGAACCACATGACGTCGTCCAAGACATCATCGAAATCTCTGGGAACTCTGATACTGCCGTTGTTGGTGCTGCTGACTCTGGAGGCAGCATTGCCACTTGGACCAATCGTGGGGAAAGCGCTGGGGCTCGGCATGGGATTGTCGCTGGGAACATCCACAACAAGTATGTCTTTGTCTTGGTTTTCTTCTTCCATCTTGTACACCATTTTCAAGGACATTTGAACCAGGCAGCGCAGCGCCACATACGCCATAAAGAACATGGCCGACATACAGCAGCACCAAACCACAAAGGTGGTGCTGGCATAAGGCCCGGCTTCGGTTCCCCAAATCGCAATATTGACCAAATTTCCAGCCAGCGTGGCTAGCTGCACGGTAGCTCCAACCACAATGCCAATCCCTAGTCCCAGTTTCTCAATGCAAGGTATCAACGATGTCTCGTAATCGTTCACACTGTCTCCTTCGTCGTCTTCGTCCAGCTGACTGTTCCCTTGCATAGCATCGTTGCTGGTGGTGGCAAATGGATCGGGAGGGATGATGATCCCCTCATCCAGCCCATCGTCAAAGTAATCGTTGGTACCATCCAACAAGGGCTGATGGTCAACGCCGGCGTACATTAATGGTGACATTTTTCGTTGTCTTCTTTCTTATGAGTGAGATGATTTGATGGGGTATGGGGTGCTCTGCAAAACCAGTCTTTGGGAATGGTTTCAAAACCGAGAAGCAAGTAGTTGTCAGGAATACCACGCCATGATCACTGGTTGGGATGTTGCTTTCTTCAAGTGTTTTGTCAATGCAGCCTTCCTTTGCTTGGTCTTGTCCTCAAGAAAGGGGTTGGCCATCAAAGTCCCAGTATGACCGCCAGAATTCGTCTGAAGTTCTCATCAAATTCTATTAGAGGGAAAGAGCACTGGTGACTGGAGGAGAATTGAAAGGGGCTGGACCTCTGTGGAAACGTCATTCGTGGAAACATACTTAAGAGATGATACACCGAGGCATAGGAGACGATCGAAATGATTTAGGAGATGAAAGCAATCGTCTCCTATATTTAGGAGACGATTCAGCAGGAGACATTCCAATTAAGAGACGATCATTTCGAAATAGGAGACGATCCGAAAGATTTAGGAGACGATACCATACAGTTTACATTGTACAATTAGGAGACGATCCGTTGAGAATAGGAGATGATCCGTTGGAAATTGGAGACGATTTAAGAGGAGATGAAAGATTTAAGAGACGATCCGTTTTGTCTCCTATTTTTAGGAGACGAAATCCATTAAATAGGAGACGAAAAAAGGATTTAGGAGACGATCGATAGCACGACTCGAGCTTCCACAGAGGTCCTGGAGGACTAACGGTGGTACCGGTACCCGTACTGTACCCTCTTTTTGCCAGCTCCGACCTGATTCGATTGAATCTGCCAGTCGCCCACCTTCCCAGACAGGGAATGAAGAGATTCTACAGAACGGAGAGTATGAGTTAACAGGGAGCCGACCATAAGGGAGACTGACGGACAGGAATCCGGGAGAGCCACTCATCCAAGGATGAGGTGGTGGACCGAAGTGTCGGGTGCACAGGTGGTGTGCCTATGTGGTGTTGATGACTAGTCTAGAAGGACTACTAATCGGCGGCTACAAATCAGGTTCACTTTTTCTGAACCAGAGTTGCAGCCGCCCGACACCAATTTTCCTTTTTGACTGGGGGTAATTAGTGTGAGCGTCCGCAACTGAAAAAGTATCTGCTGCCCGAAAGTGACCGCCTCCTCGCCAAACCTTACTCTAAGAAAAGTAAGCATGGACTTAGAGTTTGATGACGCCAGCGGCGGGTCACACAGTGTGACTTCCTTAGGGTCCGTTGTCGGAGATGGCGGGTTTTGCACACCGGCCGAGTGGTGTGCAAGGAGTGTTTTGTCGAGCCCGTATTCGTCATGAAAGGTACCGTCTATGTTTGTTTCAGTGCCGTGGTATCGAGTGTAACCGAGCCGGTCACCGAGGAGCTACTCGGTCCACCAGGTGGGGTACTCCTTTGAAGGGTGCTTAGACGCAATGACAAATACTTACGGAATCGCTAGTACCGCCTTGTCCCCACACGAAACGGCCGTTCTTCAAGCAAAAGGCGAGCTGAGGACGAAGCCGCGCTCCATGAAGGACCCGCCGAACGCTCTCCCGGGATCACGGTGGAACCGTGAACATGGGATCGCCTGACGCCAAACGAGCTTTTTCGAGTGGAAGCACAAGGGACGTGGAGGGTCGATGTCCTTCGAAGGCGAAGAAGACCCCGGCCTCGCCGGGACTTTCTCGAGCGATACCGGCGATCTTTCAGCACCCCCACCCGGTGTCATCAGAAGATCGCTGCCGCAAGAAAACACCCGAAGCTCGCTGAACGAGGCAGAGAGAGCCCGAAAGATCTCGGAGCTGGCCGCCCAGGAACGAGCTAAGGAGAGAAGTCGCCCAAGAAGAAAAGCGGCTCGCGGCAGCAAACTATGGGCAAGAACGAGCCACTGAGATGGCCGTCCAGAAGCTCCTACGTGAACACGAGGCAAGCCGGAGCACAACGAGCGAAGGCCGCTGAGGCCGCCAAATACAAGCAGGAAGCCGAGGTTCAGCGACGCGTTGACCAAGCCCTGGCCGCCAAGGCTCGCCAGGAAGGCCTCCGAGATAGGCACCCGGGGACAGGCGCCGGTACGGCTCGCCGACAACCAGCTTCTCCCCTGGAGAACCATCCAGTCCAACCAGCGCTTTTGGTACGGGTATATGAACGGGGTCAATGGAGCATACGGAGTGGTCACAATCAGCGCAAGATGCGCCATTCGCCAGCGATAGTGATTCTTGCCTGTGCCCGCAGCACGGCTGCCGAAGCCTGGGATGGTGAGTGCCGAACTCGCCCATACAGCTGACAACGCCTCCGGCCCCCGACGAGATCCGGCGATGGGAGAGTCCCTGAGCCCGCCAATCGTCGAGTGGTACGCAATCCAGCCGGCCCAACCACCATGCTCGCCGGAAAGGACCCGTCTACCAAGGACAAGGATGCGATCTACAACATCCCCATCAGGGAGGGCACGGCAGTTCTCTGC